AAAAGAACTGGCAACATTGAACCATCTCAGAAAGTAGTGATGGGAGCTAGCACTGGAACTAAATGTGGTTGAACAACTCATTTTAAAGATGGTTTAACCATGAGGGGTGGAAGGACAGGAAATGTTCTAAAACTGATGTGGTTGTGATTGCACAATTCTCCTTGATATGATCGAATGATTGAACTATTTTATGATACATAAATTATGTTCCAATAAAATTGTTAAAAATAAAAGAAATTAGCATATGAGCAAGAACCAATGATACTGAAGGAAGAAGTACAAGCTTCACTGAAAGCATTAGCCAAAGCCAAGGCTCCAGGAGTTGATGGAATACTAGTTGAAATGTATCAACAAGTTCATGAAGCAGTGCAAGCACCTACTTGTCAATGCTGGAAAATGTGGAAGACAACGAGTGGACAATTGACTAGGAGAGATCCGTATTTGTACCCATTCCAAAGAACGGTGGCCCAACAGAAGGCTCACATGTTTTATTGACTAGTAAAAGGCATTGGACTGTGTGAACCATAATGAACTATGGATAACTTTGAGAAGAATAGGAATTCCAGCACACTATATGGTGTTCATGTGGAACTTGTATATAGTTCAAAAGGCAGTTGTGTGAACAGAGCAAGGAGATCTAGTGTGGTTTAAAATCAGGAAAGGTGTGTGTCAGGGCTGTATCCTTTCACCATACATGTTCCATATGTATGCTGAACAAATAATTAGGGAAGCTGGGTTATATGAAGAAGAATGAGGTACCAAGATTCGAGGAAGTATTTTTAACAACCTATAATATGCAAAACAACACAAACTTGCTTGCTGAAGTGATAAAGACTTGAAGTACTTGCTGATGAAAATCAAGTATTGCTAACTTCAATATGAGTTGAAACTGAATCTAACAAACATTAAAATTCTCACTACTTGGCAACATCATGATAAATGGAGAAAATACTTAAGTTATCAAGGACTTCATTTCGCTGGAATCACAATAATCGTTCATGGAAGCAGCAACTTAAAACCCAAGGGATGTATTGCTTTCAGTAAATTTGTTGCACCATAACTCTTTAAAGTGTTGGAAAGTAAGGATGTTACTTTGAGGACTAAGGTGTTCCTGACCCAATCCATGATATCGTTAGTGCCTCGTAGCAAGGGAAATTTGGACATTAAATAAAGAAGACCACAGAAGAATGCTTGTATTCAAATTTTTTTTTCTGGTTCTTGCATACATTTTAATTTTAGATAAAAACATTGGAGAATTAGATACTAGAGAAGGTTATGAGAAATACGTATGCATCCTCCCCTTGCCAACATGCTCTACCACCACAGCTGCCATGGAAGAGGCTTCATGAGCTGTAGTACTTGGTGAGATTCTCATCTATAGGCTTCAGGATTTTCTTGTCAGGCATATTCACCACCCAGCCTGGAGCAAGACCAAAGAAGATCTGCCGTGGATCCTTTCGTGCACGGAGCATTTTGAAGAGTTCATCTTTCGTGATATCAGGCAAAATATAACCGTACTTCTTGGCGAGTTCAAGTCTTGCTTCAGGAAATTTGGCAGGATCTGCCAGATAACCACGATTTCTTGCATCGGTATAATATGTTACCAGTGTTTCAGGTGGAAGCATTCGTTTTGGAATGGGCTGTCCACGCAGAAAGAATGGGACAGGTTTGCACAAAATTTCCAGACTCCTGGGATCATAGAAGGCTGTAGTAACAACACCACCATTTTTTTCAATTGCAGCAATGGCAAGTTCTGGAGCCAACTGCACTTCAATATTCACTTTGGCCGTGAAGTTATCAGCACCCTCCTCCACCAGCTGGACACCATAATCCCTTTTAAGTGGTTGGATGGTCACACCTCTTCCATTGACAAGCTGGGTTAAATCAATAGGTTGAGTAGGATCAATTCGACCCAAGTCCATAAGATACTGCAGTCTATTAAGACTCAAGGGCTGATACTGGTGTCTGAAGCTGTGTCCTTCATTAAACCCGTATTTCGGACTGTCACAATCATATTGAGAGCGCTATGGACTGTCAAAAGGACCAACTGATTTGTCGTGGAAAAGGACATCAACAGTGCTCCTTAAAGGAAAGGATCATGAGAGTTTGTCTTGCGAACTCTAGACATGTTGGTAAGAGAAACTAGTGCCTGTAGAAGAGCCTCGAGCTTGGTAAAGTGGAGGGGCAGAAAACACGAGGAAGGCACTTAAGGAGGTGGATTGACACAGTGGCTGCAACAATGAGCCCAAACATAAATACAATGATGTGGATGGCAGAGGGCCAGGCAGTGTTTTACTCTGTTGTACACGGGGTCACTACAATGTACATCCAACTCTGTGGCATCTAACTTGTCCCACAATGAAAGGGCTCCTTTAAAAACTGGAAGCATGCTATTTGGAGGTGGCAGGGTTTAGGAGGGCTAAGGCAAAAACATTTTACAACAAAAGTCAGGAAAAATGAAGAAATATAATGGTCAAAATATAGATTAGAGATACATTTACACATTAATGAGAGACACAAATTATAAACATGATTTTTCTTTTAAAAAAGTTTTACATAGTGGATCATCAGTTTTGCATCCAACAATTCATATACATTTTGTTCTATTTAATTTATTGCAATCACCTCAATGTTACATTCCCTTCCTTGGTTTTCCTTTTCCTTCTGAGCTAGATGGTCACTTGTTTATCTTCAAGCCTTTAAGACCCCTGGTGCTATATCTTTTGATAGCCAGACACCATCAGCTTTCTTCACCACATTTGCTTATGCACCCATTTTGTCTTCCGTGATCATATCGGGAAGGTGAACATCACAAAAAGCCGGATTGTTAGAGCAAAGTATTCTTGTGTAAGGGAGTACTTGAGTTGAAGCCCAATGTCCATCTGCCACCTTAATTGTTAACATATAGATATGAGTACAGAGTTCTATTCTCCTCTCATTATATATATATTTACATATGTAAATGCCTGTATTTAGGCCTCTATAAATGTCCTTTGCCTCCTGGTTCTTTCTCTATTTCCTTTTTACTTCCCTATTGTCCCACCATCATGTTCAGCCTTCATTAGGGTTTAGTAATTCCTCGTTGCTACATTGCCCTTGATTGAGCCGCACTAGGCATTCCTTACTTCCCAACTGTTTTGAACTTTACCTTGAGTAAATCCTGTCTGTTTGATTTCAATGGCTTATCATACTAAGTTATACATGCCTCACTAATATTACCATTTCACTTAAAGATCTGTCTGTTTTTTGGTTGAAAATGTGTTATTTGTGATTGAATCGATATATGAACTATATTCTTTCCCATAATTTTGCCATTATACCATTATACCATTTAAGTGAGCTAGTGATTCTTTCAAGGGGGCAGAGCAGTTTGGTAGTTACAAATTGGGCTGCCAATGGCCTGGTCAATAGTTCGGAAGCTTCAGGCTCTCCTCGGGAGGAAGACTGGGCATTCCACACCTGGAAAGGGTTCCCATCTCCGAAACTCCCAGGGACGTTCTACCCTGTCCTATAGGGTCACGAGCAGTCAGCATCAGGTCGAAGACAGTGCATTTGTTTTTTGAGTGAATATTTCTCCTTTTCATCTTACATTCACCCCGCCCCCCCCAAATGTGCTATGTTTTATGTGCTTTCCTATTAGAATATCTACACTTTGTTAAATTTCTTTGGAAAAAATGTAAAATAAGGCATTTTACTGCCAATGTTTCTATTTCTTAAAATATTTTCCACATAACACTTTTATCAATAAAATTGACAATTTATGAAAAAATTATCACATCAATATTTTATTATTTAGTTTCATAGACAATATTTTACAAACCAAAAATGCTAACATTATAGCAAACTAAACAGTATTAGACAAGGAGAACTTTGCACTGTGCCTAACATTTTCTCTGAAATAAATAGCATGAAAGTTACATCGGATGAATTTCTGAACCGTAATACTTATAGTCTCATATGACAGATGCAATCTGAACTATTAATCTGACTATATGGAATTTCTCTCCAATTACCAATCAGTATTAATCTCAGCATGTGCCAAGGGCATTCTAACCTTCCCAGACCACTGATGTGTTATAAAACTGGTGACTCTGACCTTAAGTATGTTCTTAACAGCACCCAGAATGTTATTTGTTGGCATTAATATTTTAAAAACGTGTTATTACATTGCTGACCTGATTCCTTCTATAAATGTAGCCTTGGTAATATAATCCCTAAAAATAAATATATTTAATTTCAATTTAACTTCGCTTTCCATCATACCTTTTAACTTAGGTTCCTGCAAAGTTCAAATTTCCTCATAAAAATTTATATGTAAAAGAGTATATGGTGTGAGTTATAGGTTCATCTTCTCTCAGATGTACTGAAATATGCCCTCTAAAGTCTTAGCAGAAACTCATAAGATAGTATGCATGGACGAAAGTGCTTATTACCATTTTTTAAAAAGTAGTTTCTAAATCACAGTTAATAAGCTTAAAACTACAAAACAGACTACAAAAAAGAGTATAAATGGGGAATGAGAGTTGAGAGATGCTAAAGAGAGAAGCACAGAGCATGTGTAGATCCACATCTGAGCAGGCATTAACCTGGTCACCTCAAGAGACATTGCTGATTTACCAATGGCATATTATTTGACACTTATAAAGCTTCCATTCTACACCTTAACACATGAGCATGTACACATACACACATACAATGTTTTTAATCCTTAGTAGCATGATCCATAAAATGAGATATTAAAAGAAATGTAGGGTGATTTCCCACTTCTTCCCCATGGTCTTAGGGAATGGAGAGGGTGAAAACCCTATCCTAACCGGCCTAATGGGTATAAAGAGTGGGACTTCACCCTTAGTTAAAAAGTTCTCATGGGAGCTGTATGAACTGTAAATGAACTTTTGTATTTAGCAAAATAACTTTGCTTCTTGATCTGCTAAGGTGTTTTTGGAACAAACTATTTTGCTTAACCTTGACGTGGCTGCAAAGTGCAGATGTTTTTGTCTGGACTTGGTTGTTTTCCAAGAAGGAGCCAAGAAATGGGGAATAAAAGAAAACACAGCTTTTAATAAAGTGCCATTGCATACATTCACGTTTCAGGATGTTTCTTTGGTCCTCCTGAACCCTACTTTTCTATATTCTCTTTTTTCTCAAGACCACTCACCCAACCTCAGCTTTCTGTGAGGAACATGCCGGAGCTGGTCTCCGGCAAAGAAACATGACTGACATTATGTAAATCACAGACTATTTGACTGTACATCCTTGCTACTCTTTATAGTGTGCATTTTTTCTTCATAGCAGAGTTTTATTTTACATTGATATTAAACTCCATTCAGATATCTGAAAAAGAACATTGCTAGAATTGAAAATAATGAATTTTTTTTTTGAAATAATTTAGGACATGAGAATTTAGCATCCAATATTTCAAGAATACCTGGTTTTCTTTTTTAGTATTTGATCTTTGGCTTTGGTTATGGGGTTACAAGTGGAAGAAATAGCAAGACAAAGGGATAATAACAGAATATATGTGCTCCCTTCTCGTTCCTTCTAATCACTGGACACTGCCTGATGCCTCTTTTTAATCATGAGTGTCAACTCACATTGATACTTCATGGTCCATTAAGAAAAAATTTCTGGCACATTATAGTTATTTAATCACTTTGTAAATATACAAGGGCAGAGGTTGAGCAAATCATTTTAGGTTCCTGATTACTGAATGAATTCTGACAAATTTGGTCAATGAGCAGCGAAAGAAATGATACACTTCTTTGCTAACTTCCCCTTTTACAAATATTTTAATCAAAAT